GAGAGTAAAGCAGAATGATCTGAGGGAGGAGCTGAGTAAAAGGCAAGCTATGAAAGAACAAGCAAAGGAGATAACAGCAAGAAACAAGCTGGAAAGAAACTTAAAGAATATCCAGATTAAAGATCTCGAAGAGAAATTTCCAGAGCTTGAAAAGTCAAAACTCGAAAAGATCACAGAGCTGTTGTCTGGCAAAGCAGTTGGAAGGAACATGTGCCATGTTTGGTGTGAAGAAGGGAAACGCATTGTGTACAATGGAAGAATTGTAAAAATGAAAGCGAAAGGAAAAAAGGTGTGTTGTTGCGTACTGGGGGGAGGACGACTCCTATAAAGATGCAACTGATTTTGACATGTCTGTGTTTGCGCTGGCAGCCGATCTAATTGCCGATGATCTCACCATCTAACAGACTATATATAGTCTCTGTTGTTGAGGGTGTAACAATATATCGATCACCACTTCTCTGCCAGATCACCAGTCATCTACAGTGTCCTCTTGCCTCAGCCTTTCTCTGCTCGGAAATCACCTGCTATCCACGGTCCAGCGTCGTCTCAACTCACCTGCTATCCACGGTCCAGCGCGATCTCCAACTCACCTGCTATCCACGGTCCAGCCTCGTCTCCAACTCACCTGCTATCCACGGTCCAGTGTCGTCTCAACTCACCTGCAATCCACGCTCCAGCCTCGTCTCCAACTCACCTGCTATCCACGGTCCAGTGTCGTCTCAACTCACCTGCAATCCACGCTCCAGCCTCGTCTCCAACTCACCTGGAATCCACTGTCCAGCCTCGTCTCCAACTCACCTGCAATCCACAGTCCAGCCTCGTCTCCAACTCACCTGCAATCCACGCTCCAGCGCGATCTCCAACTCACCTGCAATCCACGGTCCAACCTTGTCTCCAACTCACCTGGAATCCACTGTCCAGCCTCGTCTCCAACTCACCTGCAATCCACGCTCCAGCCTCGTCTCCAACTCACCTGCAATCCACGGTCCAGCCTCGTCTCCAACTCACCTGCAATCCACGCTCCAGCCTCGTCTCCAACTCACCTGCAATCCACGGTCCAGCCTCGTCTCCAACTCACCTGCAATCCACGGTCCAGCCTCGTCTCCAACTCACCTGCAATCCACGGTCCAGCCTCGTCTCCAACTCACCTGCAATCCACGCTCCAGCCTCGTCTCCAACTCACCTGCAATCCACGGTCCAGCCTCGTCTCCAACTCACCTGCAATCCACGGTCCAGCCTCGTCTCCAACTCACCTGCAATCCACGGTCCAGTGTCGTCTCAACTCACCTGCAATCCACGCTCCAGCCTCGTCTCCAACTCACCTGCAATCCACGGTCCAGCCTCGTCTCCAACTCACCTGCAATCCACAGTCCAGCCTCGTCTCCAACTCACCTGCAATCCACGGTCCAGTCTCGTCTCCAACTCACCTGCAATCCACGGTCCAGCCTCGTCTCCAACTCACCTGCAATCCACGCTCCAGCCTCGTCTCCAACTCACCTGCAATCCACGGTCCAGCCTCGTCTCCAACTCACCTGCAATCCACGCTCCAGCCTCGTCTCCAACTCACCTGCAATCCACGGTCCAGTGTCGTCTCAACTCACCTGCAATCCACGGTCCAGCGTCGTCTCCAACCAATGTTAGTGTGACACAGGGATCATTTATTTCACTTATTTATTTAAGAAAACGGGGCCACAAAGCACATGAAAACAAATGTAAATGATGAATAATACTTAGTATGTTTAAAAAAACGTTAAAAATCGCATGTTTCTTAAAAAATTGTGATGTATCGTAGGTTATTTTTGTGCAATATATAAAATAAAAAAGTTATGTGTATATATATATATAAAACAAATCTAGAAATCCTGGGACCAGAGGAATGTCGCTTAACAAATAAGGGATGCCTTTTTTTATTTTATTTTTCAATGTATGTGCAATAGCCTACATGTCTCCTGAGTCCTGCTGATTTCTACTGATGTATTAATGTTGACGTTGTCAATCATCCTATTCAACAAAGGGCATCAAATGTTAAAATAAATAATAGTTCAGTCAATTTGATTTCTCCGTATCCAAACACTTTAATAAATTGGTTTCATAGTTTTATCATTTGTTTTTGTTTTTAAAAGAACAACATTTAAAGACCCATGGATGTAAAATGTAAACACAGAGCTTTCAGCTCACAGAAGCACATTGATGAAGGTTGTCTGGTTCATGTTGTCTGAATGCTAGATGTTGTTTTCACTGGAAGTTCGGCAGCTTTGCTACATAAAAGTGACAGAAACACTGAGGTAAATTATCATTGCTATGGAAATTATACATCATCTGGTTACAACTGGCAGGTTACACTCTTCTGTCTACAATGGACGTGGACAAAACTGCATGCCAAATTGGCAATAAAAAATAAAATTATGGGAGTGAATCTGCTACATTGCTCCACGGGTCACTCCAGAAATTGTTATGATTGACAGTGAGCAACGTACCAACGGACGGGACAAAACATTTGTCAAAATAGACCTGTGGGTACTTCTAGCAGCTTTCAAAGATCATTTCTAAAGCACTCTTTTTATGTGTCCTTTTAAAAGCAATGTTTAAAAATAGGCCTATTTGATTTTTTTTATAGCTATTTTATAATAAATCCAAAATCAAAACCTAAAAAAAAACTACATTAGGAACTACAAATGAGTGTCCTCTGCTGGTTATAATGGTTATGTCATTTTTATTTTAAAAGTCTTTATTTTATTGTCTGGGGTCCAAACATCCACGAGTGCACCATACAGTAGACGAGCGGCCCGATTGCGCAGACCTCATAAAACAGTTCAGTTTAGCATGAAAAGGCAGCTTAATATGCTGGAATTTTTCAGATATCTGAAAAGGAGGCATATACATCTCTAAACTGTTACTCATTTGGAATACAGTGTCAGTTCATTTATTTACCTTAATTTAATTATTATTTGTGGAACAGATAAGGCTCTAAACAGACAGCCTAACTAATGCTGAGCTCTGGTGGTTTTGTAATCTGGTTTAAAATAATATCAAATTGACCTACTTGACAAGAAAATATCTGCACACAGTTTATCAGTATATACATAAAGTTTGTGTATTGTTTTTTTTTACTCAATTTTTTAAATATCACATATAATAAGTGACACATTTAAAACATTTACACATTTGTCTATATGAAACTTCTGGATTTATATATTTTTCTCACTTAAGATATGCAAATGAAATAAATTATTTTGGCAACATATAGCCTACCTGAAAAATTATGTTCTTTGTGTTGTTTTAATTTTGATAATCCATTTCATATTAAAATTGACAAAACCCCCACCACCACCTTTCTTACACACCTGTGCTACACCCCTGAACATTAGTCTGAGACGAAGGAACTTCTGGTTTAATAACAGAGATGAACTCATAATCAATTGTCTCTGTCAGATCCCATTAAAGAAATCGTCTGGATTCATTGCTAGCCTTGGTTTCTTGAAGCACAGCAGTATAGGCTACATTTGGGATAGCTAGGCTTAGGCTTTTTAAAGTGTCAATTGATTGATATTTACTTCGCCATTTCCAAATTCAACTCCACAAACGCGCATATTCTTACAATTATAAATTGGATCTTAAAGGGTTAGTTCACATCAAAAATATCTTAATTCGTGTTCCGAAGATGAACGAAGGTCTTACGGGGTTGGAACAAAATGAGGGTGAGTAATTACTGACAGAATTTTCATTTTTGGGTGAACTAACCCTTTAAAATAACATTGTGGATGGGGCGAACAGAAACTGACGAATTAAAGCCTGTTTTAATATTTATTTTGACAAGCATTATGATACAGTATATGCACCTAGGGAGAGGGAAAACTAGCCTGGTTAAAACCAGACCATTCTCAGTTGTAACTGAGTTATGGTCTGGCAAAGCGTCATAGACAAATCATTTCCAGAGGGGCGTCACCAACGGACGTCGCGGATAGACCTAAAACCAATCAGAGCGATGAAGGAGATGACGTATGCAGAGCGGCGGAGAATCTCCGAGTGTTGTTCTTTGCTCGGTTTTTAACAAAAAGGAAACGTTTAAATCGCTTAAAACAGACGCGATAGCTGATTCGAACGAGTGATGTTCGACGGCGGCATCCATCTTTGTAATGTAGGCTACAAAACCTGCTTCAAAATCCCAGCGCTGTTGCCAGACTAACTTTCAGAGCAAATCTAAATTTGCCGGAAGTTGTCTGGGTTTTCCCAGGCTAGAAAAAAATCATGCCTCTCTTTTTTTTTAAATTTGAACTTATTTTAACTTGAGCGCCATGTTTTTATAACCCAGTGTCATGCGCAAGAGCAAGCGCAATGGTCAAACACATTTGTCTAGCATGTGTTTACATGCTAGAAAAACGATGAAAAAGCAGAGCAGTGGAGATCTTTTCTGTGTGGTTGGCTCCAAAGCAGTTCACCCAAAAATATCACAATACGGAAGTAAAGTTGGTCGCAAATTTCATTTAATACAGACTTAATGCAAACAGCACAATCAAAAATGGAAACACTCACAATTTTTTTAGCTTTAAAATTATTTAAAAAAAATATAAAAAGGTATAATTTCCAATAATGGCAACAGAGATAGGGCTTTAAATATCTAATTTCAAGAATTATATATTTATGATGTAAATCATCGGTGCAATATTACTTAAAAATAAAATAATATACTGATCTGCAGATCAATTTCTTCAACATTAAGAGTTTTCACTAAAGATGCATTAGACCTAATACCCAGCAAGCAATTTTGCGTTTAAAAGACGTCTAATAGCCATCCAAACACAGCCCTGATGTCTAGGCTAAAACAAGGCAGAATGTGGGCTGTCAGTGAAAATGTAATACAAGTCTAACCATAGCCCAAGAATATACACACAGGCTACGCATAGAACATGTCAAAGAAATGAAACCAAACACCTTGTAATCTATAGTTTACAACGCGTCTATAGTTAAACTAGACGAGGCGGTGAAATGACGGCTGTTGCTTGCTGGGAATCCAGTTAACTTAAATCTGTCAAGAGAGGAGTTTGCCTGGTTGTTCTGTAATCCATGTTTACTCGGCTCCCAGACCTCCTGCAACAAAAACAAAAAAGACAAACACAAGTCAGATAACAAGTCAGATTTTTTTATTCATTTTTATTGTATTTCTGTAAAAACAAACAAACCCTGAAATGACACTCTTGGCACCAAAACAAATAAAAAGAAGAGTCTGTTACAGGAATAGTGGCGTGGAGAGTAAGGATGGAGGAAATAGGTTACATATTTTGACACAATGATCCTGAGTTCGAATCCACCTTTTCCAGATCCCATTCTTCTCTCCTATAGATTGCGGCTCATGCAGCTCACATTGTTCAAGACACCTTTAGGGTTTGTGGTGGGAATGCCTGAGATCCACTGGGGGGTGGCGGTATATTTTTTATTTTTAAACCACTATATTTATGTATGAAAATAAGCATTTGGATGGCATTACGTGGATAAAAGATGGAAATCCTCTACATTGTGAAGTTGAACTGGTCCCCCCTTGAAATTCACTCCATGAACTCACATGTCATGTGTCATGACTCCCTGAATTTGCTTTGCATTTCGCTTTGGTCAAGCAATGCAAGTGTGCTCGAGGACATCTACAGTATGTGCTTGTTTATGCCTCATCAGCGCAATGACAGGAAGCTGATAACTGAACTTTTGGGTGTTGCAGTTCTGTCACTTGAAAAATGTTGTTCAAAAGTGTCACTCCACCCTCAGCAAAGCCACCGGTATAAACTCTTCTCTATGTGTTTAGATGGCAGGGGAAGTTAAAAGCTCCTAAGCCAGCACATTTTCATAACACATTTGGTTTACAATTTTTCTTCAGTTGCAGAATGACTATCATTTTGTTTTTATCTTTGAGTGGGGCAAGTTTAAAAAATGTTGTAATTCCCATTAGCACTTCATGGTTTTTGAGATGACTGGATAAGCTCCAGCATCCCTGCAGAGGACAAATGGTTTGGAAAATGGATGGATAGATGGATAGTCTGTGTCTGGCAAACAAAAAACAGAACATGTAAAGTATCCAAAAAAATGTTTATGAATTGTTTCTCAAACAAATATTTGCATTCTATGACAGATTCTGCACAAATTTACATAACAATCGCCAATGAGACTACATGTGCAAATACGCAACATGCTCTATGAATGAGGCCCAAAAAAGTATTTTGAGTAAATGGAACAGGTTATCGAATGCCTTGGTCATCATCTGTCCGTTAGATTGTGCTGTTTCCAATTGTTGGAAACAATTTTTCACTATACTTGATTACCAGATATACAAATATTGTCGAAAATCATTTGAAATAAGACTAAAACTGACTTTTTAAACAGCCATCTGCGTCTCTAATAAATCAGATCTCCTTCACTGTGTTCATTTTTATCTACCTCATAAGACAATAAAACAGAAATCATAGTTTTCCAATGACAATGAGCCAAAGGTTATGATTACCATTTAAATGCAGGCCAAGAATTTTGGGCATGCACCTTAAATTCGTGGCAATCCTCCAATGCAGATCCACTCTGATGCATTTTGGGATGCCTTCTTGTTTTTCAGCGGTATTAAAACAGATGCTAAGCATTGATGATTATTTCTCATAAGCGAAATGCTCTCCCTAAAAGAGATGTATTGTAGAAACCTGACAGGGTTTGCTGTAGTGCTCATTAAAACGATATATATGCCTACGTGAGCGGCATCCATGCATGCAATACATCTGACTGCGCCAAAAAGGAAACAAAATCATTTCTTTTAAAATGTGCTAGTGGATATATTCATTTCAATGATGTTAACAGTTAGTACAGAGCAAACAGTCATTCAGTTCGTGACATTATCCAACAAAGAGTTTTGTTAAATTCTTTGTAATTCGTGGCAGTCAACAAAATGCTGACTTGTGTGACAGCTTTAGCATCGGTTAGGCTGGAGGTGATACAGAAGTTGACATCGGGTCGGTTTGGTTGTACTTGTTAACTGCTTTGCAGAAGTGTTCTCATAAACCTCTCAGTACAATGTTGAGCATAATGCTACAGATTTGCAAATGCTTAATTCTTTCAATGTTAAAACACTTTCCTCTTTCCCTGCGTAATATCAAGAGACAGCTGGAGTTAAGCATTCATAAGGCGAGACTTTTGAAATGTGGTGAAACTGTGGCTTTTTAACGTATTCGAAGCTTTGCTGTGTTTGTTTGATTATCCCAGTAGCATTGTCTAACCACGTAGCCTGACTGGACCATCTATTCAATCAATGGCAGATGGGGATAGTGTTGGGGGAAACTTGTTTTGCATATTTGACATGCTAGTGCCACAGAAACTTCTGTACTTTCAATTTGAAAATTTGTAAAATGCCAACTTAAAATCATACTGTTCACAGTCCAGACATTTTCAAACATAGAAGAAATATTCTGAATATTACTGTTTACATGGAGGTCTTCAACAACCACAATCTAACAATGCTGCAATGTCTGAGAGAGGAGAAAGACTTCATGAAACCATTATGCATCTAAGAGAGAGAAGACGTCACCTTACAGTTGTGGTCATAATAATCCGCAAAATGTTAATAATTTTAACTAAATAAGAGGTGTAACAACAGGATGATCAGAGTAAGTTGTATGCAGAAGATGCTGGAAAACCAAAGAAGATGGATTAAGGGAATCATGACAACTACGCAAAAGAAAAAAAGCAGTCGTGGATCATCCAGGTAAAGAGACACATGCAGTATTAAGAATCAAGTGTATGTAAACTTATGGACATTTTGTACATTTATTTACTATTTTGTCTTGTGGACTATATGTAAACATCTATAATGTGAAATAGCTTATTCATGGAACTACTAAATAAATAGCATTTTTATAATCCCTCTTATTTTGTTAAACTTATTATTATTATTATTTTGTGCAGATTCTGCAAGGTTTATGTAAACTTATGACCACAACTGTATGTTTACAGTATAGGGCCGCCAGCAAGTTTCCATTTGAGACTGATTACATAGGAATTGATAGGAAAATAAATATAGATTAAATTATGGCAAACTCAAAAGTCAAGATAAGTCACGTTAATGCTGAAAACAAGATTAATTTATTCAATCAACTGCCAGCCCGTAAAGCAAAAATAATCTGCCTCCCCAAGAATAAATCAGCAAGTGCGCTGAATGCTGTTACAGGAAATTCCTGAGATGTTATAGAGACAGAAGACGGCAGAACACTTCCTGAAGTGTTGGAAGTAGCCGTGCAAAGGATGCCGCTACAGAGAGTAAGACACTAGAAGAAGCTGACAAAACGATCGTTTGGACAACAACAAAAGAAATTATGTTGTATATTTTGGTACTGTATGTAGACATTTAATGAAGGTTAAAGACACGTTTCAGGGCCTAGGCCACTGACCAGACCCAGATCTGGGGGTTCGGGGTTCGATTAGGGGTTCTGTCGCAGAGGCGTCCGGATCCGCCGTGCCCTTCAGAACCTTCAGACGCTTGCCAAACGCTTCCTTCTTTGGGTAGAGCAAGAAGTCATACACAAGAGCAGCAGCCACCCCACCCAACATGGGTGCAATCCAGTATATCTATACAAGGAAATAATTGTCACATTTGATCAAATTTTTATTTTGCACACAGTGCACACACTCTTTTACGCAAAAGAACAAGTTATCTAAAAGAACCAAAAGTTTTCTTTTTCTGGCCTATGAATGCTTTTGAAGAAGTAATACTATGTCAAGATGTTTATAATGTAATTTAAAATCAAATATAACCAAATCATAAAATGACTAATCTCTACCCTCAGCAAAGGATTTAAGTTGCCATTAATTCTTGCTTTTACTCAAACAGCAATTTCAATTTGTTCTGACCACAACCTCATAGAAATAACGAGGTACGGACTTACCCAGTGGTTTTTAAAGGATTCAAGAATAACGGCTGGTCCAAAAGACCGAGCGGGGTTGATGCCGCAGCCGGTGTAACTGATCTGGGGATGAGAGTGATGAGCTTGTAAGGTTATGCATGCAGCAGAGAAGAGTCTTGACTTCAGCTTGTTTGGAAATCTACTGATCTAAGAACTTTGCGCATCATTTACGTTTGGTTGATGAAAAGTCAATTATCAAGTGCTTACTGCTACCAGGTGCCCTAAACCAACGGATAGTCCGATGGCTAGGGGTGCAGAGCCTGTGACATCAGTCCGGTGTTTGTCTGTTGTGGCCAGGACACAGAGGACCAGCTGAAAGGTTGCGAAGAGCTCAATGGCAAATCCCTGTCCCTGTGACACACCGTGACTCAGCTATAAGGAAAATAAGAAAATAAACAAATATTGGATTTCCTTTTAATGATGCAAAAAGTTCAACATGATACTGTCATATTACAATTGTAAGACAAGATAATAAATGTGATTTCAAGAATACCTCCTAACATCTGAATGAATTTTGAACATTTGCACCATTACTGTCAGAAGAAAAAGACACTACAGTCCCACACTACATGGGACAAATCGTCACAATGGGAACCTATACCTTTAAATATTGTAGACTTTTTAAAGTAAAATTTAAAAACAATTAAAACAATTATGAAATAAAATGAAAGAGCAAAAATGGAAATATAATATTTAAAAGAAAAGAAAAGTGAATTATTGCCTTTGTATTTTGTTATGGCACTCAAGCAAATTGTTAAAATATTACCTGGAAAATATTTACATTGTTTATTGAGTTGACTGCTTATGAAAATGTTATATGTATAAAAAATAATTAAATTAAACATATTTTCCTAATATCTTAAATGCAAATGTTAACTTTGTTTCTTCTTTTTATTTTTCATGGACTCCATAGAACCCTTTTGCAGACCCAAATAAGAAGGAAAGAAAGAAAGAAAGAAAAAGAGAAAGATACTGGAAAGAGGAAACAATAATTAAAATATTCTAGTTTAAGACAATTTTGAGTTTGAAATCAACATACAAAATCCCAGCTAGATAAAAAAAAACATTTTGTGTAACTTATAGTTACTAAAATATCCCCATATGACAACTAACCATGTAATTCAATTCTGCATGTAGTATTAGTGGTTGAAATGTAATATTCTGTATAAAGCAACTTACCATATTGAGCCCCAGTGTTGTTTCAGGGTCAGGGCTAACTTTGAACATAATGCCACTTGCCACCACAGCTCCCAACAACTGGGCAATGACATACATGAAGGCCCTGAAGAAGCTGATCTGACAGCTAACCAAAAGTCCTAAAGTAATAGCTGGGTTCAAGTGGGCTCCACTGATATGGCCCAAACTCTGAGCCAGTGTGGCAATCGCCAGACCGAAAGCTAAAGCTACTTTAACCTCTTGGTCAGGATATCTGTTATGCCTGTTTCCAATGGCAGAAGCTATACCAATAAAAATAAAAATGGTCATCCCAACAAACTCGGCCAATACTGCCCGCCAAAAGGACCAACTTTTAAGCTCTCGTGCCATTACAAGAATTGTTCCTCTTCTGCCTTTTAGCTGGTAAATGAAATTGCCTGCTAAGCTGCCACTTATAAACACTTAGTGAAAGATGACTGACAGGAAACTGGTTTTAACAAAGGAACCAGTTTTAGTCCAGAAAACGGTAGGAGGTAGTTAATTACTAACTGTCCGAGAGCTAGTGTCACAGCAACTCTATTAAATAATTGTAGATCAATTTGTCTATATTTTTACCTGCTGCATTTTTGGGAGTCATTCCTATGTTTCCAGAGTCCTATATGCTCCCCAGATGTATATGGTACATAATGAACCCAAGATGTTCCCAGGCCTGTTTACACCAAGAGAAATATTCAGCGCTTAGATTTGATGAGAAAAATATTTTTGAATGAATAGCTGTTAAAGGGGTGGTATAATGCCCCTTTTATGTAAAATAAGTCTCTGTTTTCCACAGAGTGTGTATGTGAAGTTTTAGCTCAAAATACACCACGCTGTTTTTTATAGCATACTTTTATAAAGTTTGCCCTTTTTGATGGTCAGTAAAAACGCGTCGTTTTGTGTGTGTCCCTTTAAATGCAAATGAGCTGCTGCAAATGAGGCTTACAACTTTTCTAAAGATCTGTTTGGCCATTAACTTTTAAATGCATTGTTGTTATGCATGAATGAGGAGAGTCTCCACATGAAAGACCCGTGACTGCAGATCAACGTGCTTCTGCATTTCTCTCCGATACAGTAGGAAATTAAATGTGGAGGATTTTATATTTGACACGATGATTGACAGGTCAGTACACGTAACAGGATGCGTGTAACTAAGCGACAGAGGGCAACCGTTAAAGACACTATAAAGACGTGATAGTATGTCCAAAAGCTTGTCTACTCTTCTGCTACACACTCAAAAGTATGTACTTTTTCTCCACAAAAAGAGTACATACTTTTAGGGCGTAGAATAAGTAGGGCAATAGGCTTTATGCCCAGCTTCACTACTTCCTGAACTTCAGCCAGCCCTTTGTTTCCTGTCTGTCATTATTGGACAAACTGATTAATCCAGGTGTGCCTGATTATTGTTACTGAGGCCAGGCACACCTGGATTAATCAGTTTGTCCAATAATGACAGACAGGAAACAAAGGGCTGGCTGAAGTTCAGGAAGTAGTGAAGCTGGGCATAAAGCCAATTGAGACGCAGCATGTGGGAACTAACAAGAGCTAGGACAACCACAGACACAATAGGAGCAGGGAAAACACTTCAAAATAAGAGTTTACATAAAAACAGGGAAACAGGCTGAGATCGTGACAACAGACATCTTTGATGTGCGTGATTTTGTCGAATTTGTGACTTTTTCTAGAATTTGCTCATTTACAATATGTCTCTATTAAGAAGTTTGCCATTAATTACAGATATTTATGAATAATGTTTATGATGGGTAATGTATGTAAATTTGATGTGTATCAGATATTTCAGCACTCTAAATCATTTCCTAAAGTTTTTCTCTTTAGTAGAGGGCTTTTCATGGATGTGAGTGCTAATATGAAATAAATATAAAGTTAATATATTAAATATAATTCAGAGATATCAAAAGATTCACAATTTATTTATTTAAGTCTGTCAAAGTACTTACAGTTCTAGGTTGACCACAACCTTAAAAGCCTGTCACTGTCCTCTAATAAATTTGAATGTTCAGCACAAAACATTTTGTGTTGGCCTCAGCTACATAAAACCAATCTGTACAATTTTTTCATCATTGTACTTTTTCAAGAAACAACAAAGTGATTAAATGGATTTATTTACAATTTCTAAATTTGACACAGTAAGCACATATAAATACCAAAAGCAGATGATACGTATACTGTATATACACACACAAGTAAACGCAGATTTCAAGTTGAGCAGGAAGCTAGGCTATTAACCATTTTCAATATACAGAATTTTACACAGTGTATTGGGGCTGTTTACACAACACCGTTTTCAACTTAAAAGGTAAAACTTGTATGCGTTTTGGCCATTCGTTTACGCGACAATGGCATTTTGGGTGCCTGAAAACGCAATGTTTTGAAAACGGGTTTCAAAGTGCAAGTTTTCGAAAACGGTCTCCGTGTAAACAGCAAAAAAGGCGTTTCAGTCGGTTTCGCGGATCCGTGTGGATGGGGATCGTTTTGACAGTGGTGTCATCTGTACGCAGAAAACTCAAAGGAAATAATTATTAAATTATTATATGCTTGCAAATAAACTGTAGACCATATTACATTTACATTTATTCATTTAGCTGACGCTTTTATCCAAAGCGACTTACAATTGCTATATATGTCAGAGGTCGCACGCCTCTGGAGCAACTAGGGGTTAAGTGTCTTGCTCAGGGACACATTGGTGTCTCGCAGTGGATTCGAACCCGGGTCTCTCACACCAAAGGCATGTGTCTTATCCACTGTGCCATCACCACCCGTCTTGTCATATTGACACATATTGTCTTGCCAGGACACTCTACCTTAAAGGGAGCTGAAAAATGTGCAAAGCTTTTCACACACATCGTAAGCTTCTCTGCATCCCCTATTTCCACCCATGTTTCTAACAGGTGGTAGCACTTCCCCTCTTTCTTCTGCCTCATCCAGCCATCTTTGATTTTCCCATGGGTTTGTGAGGTAATTTTGAAGGATGCATGCTGAAGTGCTATAGAGTCTGCTTTCTCTGGCTTAACATTCATCCTTATATGGACCCAGATAGCATGTAATCAATGAAACAATGTTGACTCAGTGTTGATGCGTTAATGCTAATTGCATTGAATTAACGTTACAAAGTGATGTGCTTTAGTATAAACATTGGGTCTGGTTAAAATACAGAGATGAGGATCTTTAATTTACATTGCTGTTGTACTCTGTCTTATAGTGTTAACATGTGCTCAATGTTTCCTTACCATCGTTGGCATATTGTCCATTACCATCGTTGGCATATTGTCCATTACCATCGTTGGCATATTGTCCATTACCATGGTTGGCATATTGTCCATTACCATCGTTGGCATATTGTCCATTACCATGGTTGGCATATTGTCCATTACCATCGTTAGTATATTGTCCATTACCATTGTTGGTATTGTTACGACCCTTCGCTCAAGGGCAGCAACAAAAACAAGGGACACACGTAAACCAAATTGTAAGCTCAAAAGTAATGTTTATTTAACTACAAAAATAAGACAAGACTAAATAATAGAATGAAAACAATTAAAGAAAATAAGAGTGTTTCTGTATTCATCAGTAAGATCAGTGTGTAAAGCAAGATGCATGGTTGAAAGTGTAATGCAATGTTGAAGTTGAAATGTAAATGCAAAAAGTAACAAAATACAACGCAAGCAAAAGGCAAAGTCCAAAAGCAAAAGTCCAACACCAAAGTTCCCTCTCCCTTTGGCTCAGTGGGTGATCTCTTAAGTTTGACTTTACTTTACTTAGTAAATGCATCTTGATTTAAGAATTTTTATATATTTGGATTGGAAACTTGTTTACAAGTAAGAAAGAACCACTTACAAGTAAGTAAGAACATAGTTTATATAGATTACTATAAGATAGAGTGATCATATAAAAGCCTCTGAAGTTAATACATGTCATATAGGTCAAAGATCTGGTAATAAAACATAAAACAAACAGCTTCCTCAAAGCAGTCAGATGTGATATACAATACCTTAATACACACCTTCCTGGTTGGTGATATTCACATCGTGCAATAATTATGTATCTCTTTCACAGAAGTCCGCCCTTCCCTTTTGTACAAGATTTGCTGTTTTGTCACAAGATGTTTTATACTTCACTGGTACAGGTTGTTTCTGGAAAAATATAATTTTAAAGATTAAACATGAGATTTAAAAAATTGAGGATTCTGAAAATAATCTCCATTTCAGTGTCCCTTTTTTTGCTGATCTATCTAGGACGAATGACAAATGGTCCTCATAGGAAAGAGCTGGTATTGAATCACTTACTAAAGCAGGATGTTGGAGAACTACAGGCTTGTTCTGCTATTATCCAAGGAGACATGGACGGAGTGGACAAGGACATTTTCGGGAAGCTCTTGGCCTCGAAAAGAAAAAAGAGGAAATCCCTGCTGTCCGAATCATTCTATCTCAACGCAACCAAGGATTGTCCATCCTACATCCGAGACAGAGGGTTTCTGATGCTTTCTCTCAGTAAAGAGGAGAAAGATTTCCCCATTGCTTACTCAATGGTGATCCACGAGAAGATTGAGATGTTTGAAAGGCTCTTAAGGGCCATTTACACTCCTGACAATGTGTACTGTGTTCATGTGGACCTGAAGTCACCTGAGATCTTTAAAGAAGCAGTTAGGGCCATTGTGTCCTGCCTGACCAATGTGTTTGTGGCCAGCAAACTGGAGAATGTGATCTACGCCTCTTGGTCTCGAGTTCAAGCGGACATCAACTGCATGCAGGATCTGCTCAAGTCACCTGTCCAGTGGAGGTATCTGCTCAACACCTGTGGCAATGATTTCCCCATTAAAACCAATGGAGAAATGATCCAGTCACTAAAACTCCTAAACGGAAAGAACAGTTTGGAGTCCGAGACCGTAAAGTCCAAAAAGGTGCGCTGGCAGTACCATCACAATGTTACGAATGTTGTGACTCGGACCGATGTTACAAAGTCACCCCCGCCAATACAGAGCCCTATGTTCACAGGAAATGCTTACTTTGTGGTTTCAAGAGAGTTTGTGGAACACATCTTTAAAAGCGAAGAGATTCAAGATTTCATGGAATGGGTGAAAGACACATACAGTCCAGATGAGCACATGTGGGCTACGTTACAGCGGATGCATTCAGTACCAGGATCCAACCCTCCAAACAGTAAGTACGAGCAATCAGACATGAACTCAATTGCTCGTCTAGTGAAGTGGAGCTACCATGAAGGAGATATAAAGAGTGGGGCTCCCTACCCACCATGCACTGGGATGTACAGACGGGCAGTGTGTGTCTATGGAGCTGGGGACTTGAAATGGATTGTGAGGCAACACCATCTTTTGGCAAACAAGTTTGATCCAGAAGTAGATGATGTAGCAATCAAATGTATGGAGGCTTTTTTAAGGTACAAAGCTATTTATGGTCAATCATTAGTAACAGTTAAAAAAATCTGACATTATTTTATGATGTTTTAATGACAGGTACAGTATCTATTTGTATATTTGGTAACACTTTATTTTGATAGTCCACTTTAGACATTCTACTAACTATAAGTAACTTTGCAGCTACATCTCAATAACTCTCATTAGAGGATTAGTAGACTTTCTGCTTAATATTTGCCAACACTGGTATACGTAAAGTCTGCTTAATTTGAACAAGTAATTTTGTATGGTCCAACTAAAGATATACTTACGTATATTTGATTGTGCTAAAGTGAAACTATTGCAAGTATACTTAAGGTACACTTTAAATATCTTGCATTTAAATTATACAGTGATCATACTATCCTTACTAATAGTGTTATTAAACACATAGGCTTAATATTAAGAAATATTCATTGTGCAATAAAGAAGAACTCCAAATAAAGTTTAATTATAATATTTAAGTCTCAAGCAATATGTCAGTGAATATATTAATGGGTTTGTAGTATAGTTAGTATGAAATACATGTAGGCCTATTTTAAATACATTTTGGAATATGTTTTTTCCATAGGGCAGACTCTGCATCCATTGCCTCTGACATGTTTTCTCCTCGTCACACACCTAACTCGAAAACTCTTAAGCAGTATCCACATTAAATATAAAGTTCCAAATGCCAAAAGCTTTTTTATTTTTATTTCTGGGTGACCTTTTCTAAAAAGATATTGAAATTAAATGAGGAGGGGGGGAGGAGGGGGGGTTGTCGACCCTGGTTTCTCCAGGGACAACTCGCTCGTTTGCTCGGTTCATGTGTTTGTGTGACACCTGCTCTCCAGCATTCATGTGATTCTGCGATCACTGGGTTCTTTTTAACCAGTCTCTTTGTTTGTTTTGCTTGCTGTACATTTACTTTACTGGTTTTTCTGTGCATTTGTTTATAAATATTGTTTGTTTAAATTCATTTTTGTTAGTTGTATATCTGTATATCAGGCAGTATATCTGTCGAGGACAAAAATAGGATAAATAAGCTGATCAAGAGAGCTGGTTCAGTTATTGGTCTTAACCCAGATGTATTGGAGCTTACTGTGGAGAAGAGGATAAGTTCGAAATTAAAAATTGTCCTGCTTTTTGAAGGCCATCCACTACACAATTTGTTCAAAGGACTTAGAAGCTCTTTTAGTGAGCGATCGGTAATGCCTCGGTGCTCTAGTGAGCGCATGAGAAGGTCTTTTGTTCCCGCAGCGGTCAGATATTTCAACGAACACTGTTAATTGTTGAATATTATTCTTGTCTTTTATAGTGTTTATTTTTTATATTTTTGAACTGTGAAATTGAATGTTTCTTCAAATTGTGTCTCCTAATCAGGGTTTATTATAGCCTGGTTAAAACCAGACCATTTAAATAAAACCAGTTGTAACTGAGTTATGGTCTGGCAAAGCTTCATAGACAAATCATTTCCAAAGGGGCGTCACCAACGGACGTAGCTCAAATGCCTCTGGGCGCAATTGGATAGACCTGAAACCAATCAGAGCGATGAAGGAGATGACGTATGCACAGCGACGTTCGTCTGTTATACATAGTTCCCACAGGCCAATTAATGTCACGTGACCTCCCCGGAGACGCCATCTTTGAGGGCATAAGCTGCTCTGTTTACAAAGTTTTACAAGCAAATTTTGAATATTTCTTTCTGTTTATAATGTTACGAAAATCATGAAGAGACAAAGTGACAGAGATTATAAAGAGAATCTATTAACACAAGACAGAGAGAGGTACAATGCGAAAATTTCAGTCATAAATGGTGTGGATCCGTGTAAGGGTTCTTCCATAAAATTTTCAGCAGACATTCATGGAGTCAACAAAGTGTCGGTTTATTGACGGTAACACTTAAGTACTGACACACATTGTGCAAAAGAAAGAAAGAAAAAAACAACAACACTGACTAATAAATGGGACATCAGCACATTACTAAGTTCTGGGTCTCAGATGTTTCTCAGGAATCCCTCACCAGAACTAACCCAGCCACAGAAAATGAAGCCCTTTTAACAAACCAGACCAAACCATTTTACAAATTACAGGGGTCTCACAAAATTCTCATTTTCTTACCTCAAACACAAAAAGGGAAATATATATAAATACATAAACTCGAATAAACAAATCACATTTACCATAAAACAATAATGAAAATACACTTAAACATACACACAAAAACACATCCTTTAAACACATTCGAATTAACAGACGACCCCAACCCATATTGTCCCCAAAACTACATTTCCCATAATTCCCCATCGGATATATAAAGGACACCAGGAAAGACCGCACCCTTTTCAATTCCAAACCTTTGTTCCATGCTGCAGTTATGGATCACGGCGGGACCATGGGTAAGATGTACAAACAAACTTAAATAAAACATTAAACCCATATTTTGGTTGTGGTTTCATTTACTCTAGCGTGCACTCTAGAAATAAATGATTATTGACTTTGTTGCTCTTTGAGATTTAAAATGCTAAAGAGACAACATAGCTTCTCCAGTTCCAAGGTTTGGGTAAATTATATTTAAAGAAACAAAGTAATTACATAGACATTCATAATAGACCAAAAACCCCATTAATTCCTTAGATCAATCGAAATATAAATTTTTGCATACAAAAAATAAAATAAAAATAAACTAGAACCAATTCAAATGAAATGTTCACTCAAGTGTGGCCTTAGCCATCACAATCCGTATGCACTAACGAAGGAAGCACTGAGCACTGATTATGCAGCTTTGCCTCATACAGTATTATCATGTGTAACGTTACCATTATCGTTATTTTTTACACATGTGAGCAATTCCGAGCCTGGAAATCACTGGAGGCGTACAATCAGTTTGTCGAGGGTTGGGTTGGTGACGTTTGCTCAAGTGCAATCAATGGAAAAGTAGTCATCATAGCGAATGTATGTAGCATGATGCTAGATTATCTGTCTATCTGTCTATCTGTGTGTGTGAGTGAGAGAGGCGCAGGCGCGATCGAACAGTGGAAACAATGTTGTTTTTAATACCTCGTCATTATGTTTATACAGGACATCATTCAAACTGCAAAGTGTTAACTTGTTTATCCTCGCCAGCCATAACCTCCGTCGTTGTTCTGACAAAAGCTTAGGGTGTATTCACACCCGGAAAGTCCGATAGTTCACTTGCTTTGGTCCGGACCAAATTATATATATATATATTTTTTTTTTGGTACGGTTCGCTTTCACACTGCTCTTTTTGCAAGTGAACCAAAATTTGTAAACAAAACCACACGTGTGCTAAGGTCGTCCATTCATTGGACAAGGATTCTCAAGTAGGGAAATCAGGAAGTGCAAAAAAGGCTCAGCATGGAGATATTTCGTACTGCAATATTTGTTCTTTTACTAATTTTGTGTTATTCTGTACAAACGCAATATGAAGAAACTAATGAGTATCATATGATGCAATGTCATCATCTATACAATGTTGTAATTCGGATTTTGAGAAGACGACGATGTGCTGCAAGACGGTTCACATGCTCTCATGTGCGCTTACCATGCCATGCTGACTAGGCGCGTTTCCATTACAGATTTGCGCAAAACTTTTGCGATTTTTTCTAAATGTCGATAAAAAAACTATTGCGGCGTTTCCATTAACCGATGTTATGCGACTAAAATGTATTTTTTTCCTCTCGCGATAAGTCATTCCAAAAATCATGGTAACGGATGTTGGTAGGTTTATAGCCTATATCACAGCCACCGCACTAGACATTATTATTATTATTAATGGAAGGAGACGTGGTGTGTTATCCAAGCATTAATGGCAGACCCTTATACTGCGAACGGCACACAGCCTATAGCCTAAGAGTGGCTGTTTCTCCCTCATTTCTGCTCCGAGGTCTTGATTGTGGCATTTCTTTGAGGTTTAATCCAGTATTCCTGTAATTATTGTTTCTTTTATGAATTTAATAAAGAACTCTGTCTCGTATTATGTCCAAACGGTCAGTGTACTTTTGTGTCCATTAGTTTTTCCTTATTTAACCCGTAATTGCAAAACGAAAAATGAATGGTTGTATTTTTAAAACGCAAAGTTAAACACCAAAATTTTTATTAGAACTGTAGGCTACACACCAAATACTGCGCAAAAAAATTAATATCGACGAATTTTCAGATTTTTGTTTATGACTTTTTGCCCCTTTATTAAACATTTAAAATATTGACAAATTAATATGAAAAAAATTAGATTTTACTGGTTTTCTAAGGCCAAATTAGAACCTGGAAATTATATTTTTCCCGCAGTGCTGAATGAGAAGAGCCATATAACCACAGCCTACAGAAAGGGGATTTATAGGCGAGTTATAGGCTATAATAAATGTGTCTGAAAAAATACCAAGATATTTTAATTGTTTATTAATAAAAAATCAGTGTCGGCTAAAACATCTCCATCCCCGCTGTATACGGCGGATGCACCTTTGGAGAGAAATGCACCTTTCATACGGCTTACATAATCAGAAGGTATTAGCTTTCGATTCGAATTTGTTCGTTTTAAAGTGGACATTTCAAGCTTTAGCTTAGGCTATATTTTGTTTCAGTTCTAGCGCTTCAGTTCACGGAGAGCATGAAGCGCGCCTGATTATTTTATTTTACAAAAGCACAACGTTTTCTTGTTATTGTGAGTTTACACAAAGTAGTTGCGAATAATGTATTATTATTTTCTGTATGACCAGAAATGATAGAGTATTTTAAGTTGTTTCCACTGTTGATAGGAAAATGCAAGTGTTCGCGCCCGCGCCCGCTCCTCCGTGCCATCCAGTGCGTGCTCCACACTCCGCACACACACTTGGATATGCGTCAAAATCTTGTTTAGCCTATTTGTGATAATCTTAGCTCAGTATTATGAATGAGATGTGACGAATTGCTTTGTTCCTTTTTTGGATAAAAGCGTCTTCTACATGTGTAGCCTAATAGCCTAAATGTTATAATAATGATGATAATTATTATTATTATCCCCGCGTCTTCTAAGTCAGCTGACTGTAAATGCGCAAAACCTGTTTCCATTGCAGTTTTGCGAAATATTCCTTTTTCGAATTGCCTGAAAAACCTCCTCATGCGAGCGTAAAAACTTTTTTTGCGATAAACGGGAGTTTTTGCGAAATGGACGTGTTTCCATTGAGCGTATTTTCAATTCGCAAT